AGGGGGTTGGAACTGGATGAGCTTTAAGGTCCCTTCCAACCATAACCATTCTATGATTCATTTATTGAGTAAAACAGTACTTATGATAGAAGTGCATCAACCTTAAACCCATACAGATGCTGAGAATATTGCATGTTTTTCAGAGAAACTAACCCTATTGAGAGAAACCGGGGGTAGTTCCACCTTTGAAATCCAGGGCCTCTGTGTGATTTGGTCTATACTTGCCACCTCTGTGGAGCCTGCTAGTATTGTTCACTTAAATAGAAAGCAAACTTGCCCTTGCCCTCTTACACAGAGCATCACATCATTAATTTGGAATGTGAAAAAACGTAGAGATGAGTTTATATTAACTTCTGTCTTCGTTGCAGAATTATTAGTAAGGAAATACAGAGAAAGGTAGTTTACACTGAGCTTCAGATTTTTAATTTCATGATACAGTACTCCTAATATTTAAAAGAAAAATAAGAATACATATCAGTTTTTAAGTATAGCTTGAGCTGCAGCAAAATTTTCCTAATGCTGGTGTTCGTTTATGGACAGAACATGCCCATGCTTAGTTGAATATATACATGATTTATTTTTTCATTTTAAAACCTCAAGCTTAGAAGGACACTTTGAGGGGAAAATACTGGATTCTGTAGGAATACACTACTCAACTGATGCCCATTGCTCAGGGGCTTCCTACTGCTGGTCTGCTGCAGACATAGATAATTCACATGAAACTTAGGAAAGCATTAGCTGGATCACATTTTCTAAATATTCTGGGGTTTGCTGTAATTGAAGGAGTTCCAGCTGGTTTTACTATCATTAGTTGTCCTTTCTGAAGGTGTAAAGGTCCTTGTGGAACACAGTGTTGTAGCTGATAGTTTTGTTATGAATGTAGGCAAAACAGGATATTGTAAAAAGCTAGCCAGAGTTGAAGAAGTGATTCATTGGGGGATGTGTGAGATTTAGGATAGACCTTGTCCTCTGCTGCTTTTGCAGTTTTCTACTTGAAAATGTGCTCTTCTCAAGGTTCCTGCTCTATTTCCATCTGAAATGTAGCAGTTCTTCCAAAGTACAAAGCAGCTTCTTATCTTTTTGGATGAAAAGTAGTATGCGAATATGAACTATTGTGTAATACGATGGCTATGGAAGTTAAAGCTTTAAAGATTGCCACCGTGTTGATGTCTTAAACGTCTTGTACGTTCATTTTGAAGAGCTGAACCAAAGTACTTTCATAGCAGGTTATTTGTTATAACATTGAAACAGTTGAAATTTATATACACATTTTACTGGTTAAATTACAGGATGGTTTTCTTCTTTGCAGCTGCAAACAGATCATGTGCTGTGTGGCTCAACAGTCAGCTGAAAAGATAGATAAATTCCGAGCTCATGCAGGATCTGTGTTCCTTACTCTCTTACACTTTGACCATCCTCCAATTCCACACATACCTCATCGAGAAGAGCTGGAAAGGATATTTCCAAGGTAATGTATTGAAAAACTTATCCTAAACCAGTGAAAGTAAAAGATACATGCACACAGTTACGCCTAACACCAGCAACCTGATATGCCCATATGGCTAATACAGGTATCGAGGAATATTTGGTGCTGTTTGTCAGAATTTCATTGAAATGTGCAGTGAATATCCATAAACATGTAAAATATTCAAAAGAAGAATTTACAGGATAAGTTCCTGTTAAAAACCATAGTTTCCTAAGGAGATAAGTCTTACATGGTCATGCTGCATAAGTCTCTGCATCAGCCCCAGTAACTTCTGAACCCATCAGCCAATTCCGTGGTGGATTGTGGAGATCATGTCAGTAGTAGATGGGAGACCACTGGTAAAATGGAACTGCTGGGAGCTGTGTTTTAGTAATCCTGCTGTTCATGAAATGGCTGGTTTATATAATCTTATTTTCTCTCCATAATGTGAGAGCTGGAATTTATTGGCAGACACCCTTCCTGATCCCCCCCTCCCCACCTGGAAAACATTGATTGATCATAATGATAATTTTAGTGAATTGTGTTATTTTAGCCACGCTCGATTTGCAGTAGTTTTCCAAGATGATATTTCTAGTTAAAGCAAGAGTGAGAGCAGCTGATGGCTGATTGGTGATGATAATACCTGACTGGGATAAGAGACATCCAACTTTGTGTCCCCGTTCTGTTTGTTCAGCAGAATCTGAACCTCCTGTAATTCAAAAAGCCCTGTCTGCTGGGCTGCTGATTGATGTGTGGTGGGGTGTGTGTCAGCCTTTCCTGGGATAAGTCTGCCTTTGCATCAGTGGTTGACTAGCTGTTGAAGGCAGAGAAGTCAGAAAGGAATGCAAGAAGGAGAACTTGTTTTCTTGGTGTAGAGAAAAGTGCATATGAAAAAGAAACTGTGGTTCAAAGGAATAAGGACTTGAAGACTGCTTTGCTTCAGTGGCAGTGGCTGCAGTTTTGATTTGTATTTTCCCCCTATGCTTAAAGAGCAATGATTAATTTGATTTTCAGGTAATTCAGAGACTTTCTTCACTCATGTGCTGCTTGAGGATGAGGAGCTATCGTAGGAATGTATGGGGAAGAAAGGCAGTGCACACAGAAAGTTTATCTTTTCCTTCTCCTTTCCCCAGGTCAGAGAAAGAGACTCTAAACTGGAATGCTGCATCAGAAGCTTTCCCTCGAATCACCCAGCTTTTGGCTTTGCCAGCATACCAATACTCTGTGCTTTTGGGTCTCTCTGTGTCTGTTGGTGGATTGACAGAGACAACGGTAAGAAAGCAGAGTGGCTTTCCTGTTGGGTAGGAGAATGCATTTACTGAGAAATCGTGGACTGAAGTGTAATAGACTAAAGTCTGTTACAGTGCCTGCAGATAGCTGTTTCTGTGAGAGTTTCAGCTGTAAGAGTTTTAAAAGAAATCAAGTCATACTTTTAAACCTGATGGGCTTTATATTTTTATCTTTAAAAGTACTGTTTTCTTGACTTACTGGACACTTTGTCTCCCATTTCCTGGCCTGATAGAACCTGGCAGTTTCGGCCTGTTGGCTCAGTCGGCTCTTAGGTTTATTTGCTCACCGCTCTT